TTATTATTATTATGTGAGTGTAGAGATTGGAATTGCAGAGTGGTGGCAACTGATTAAGTATGGCCTTCTTGCCCTCAAGCTGTTCTTCTTCCTCTTCATTTTCCTCTCATCATCTTTCCATTTTTAACGGCTGTACAAGTAACAATGATAATAATAGTAGCATTTTCTATTATAGAAAAGAGGAGCGTTGGATTAGGCCAGAATTCATTATAATTAGTAAACGCAGCTCGTGTTTCTCTTCATCTTCTAAAAAAGGAGAAAATCAGAGGCGGCGGTGGCCTAGTCTTTTGCGGTGTTCTCTTCTTCCGTATAATAATAATACCAACAACAACAATAATATTAATAATTACAATTATCAGAATAGTATAAATAATATGTCCGAATCCCAGCACGAGCTGTGCGATAATACAACTTGCCGCTTAGTCAACCATTTCCCTCATTCTCCAACTACTCTTCTTCCTCTCCGATCCGCTCGATTCCGGACGACGGCCATGGCTGGTAACGGATCTCCAGCTCCATTCACCACCTGCAATCACCTGCGCCATGTAGAGTCAATGGCCACTCTGCCCTCCGGTGCCGGCGCAATTCCCAGATTGAATGCTCTCATCCTCGGCGAGGCCCTTGCTTCCGAAGAAGATGATCTCGTCATCCCAAGCCAGGATTTCGCCGCGCAGGCCCACGTTCCCTCCCCCGCCAAGGCATGTCTTATTTCTATCATCTTCATTCCCCTCAACCTTTAATGTAAATTTTTACACCCTCTCTCTGTCTCTTCTTCTCACATGCAGTATCTCGAGATGTACAAAAGGTCTATTGAGGACCCCGCTGGATTTTGGTCCGATATTGCTTCCCAATTTTACTGGAAAGAGAAATGGGGTCATCCTGTTTACTCTGAGAATCTCGACCTTCGCAAGGGGAGAATCAACATCGAGGTCAGCATCCACCTTTTGATTCCCTTTTCCTACTTAGTCTCCTCTCTGCTTTAACTGCTAGTATTTGCTTCTCTTTGGGATCAGTGGTTCAAGGGTGGCATTACCAACATCTGCTACAACTGTTTAGATACGCATATTGCTGCTGGGAATGGTGAAAAGATTGCTATCTATTGGGAAGGCAACGAGCCTGGTGCCGACGCTACCTTGACTTACAATCAACTCCTGCACAGAGTATGCCAGGTAAATCTCCATTTGCCTCTTCTTTTCCCCCCACACTATTCCTTCTTGTCTAACTTGTAAGTCAGTCACCAAATACTTCTTTAATGTGCGCTTTGCCGACAGCTTGCTAATTACTTGAAAGAAGTTGGCATCCGGAAGGGTGATGCTGTTTTGATTTATCTACCAATGCTTGCGGAACTTCCCATAGCTATGCTTGCATGTGCTCGCATCGGCGCTGTTCATTCTGTAATTCCCACTGCAATACTCTGGCATCTTCATACGCACCCACAGGTTCACACATAATATTTTTCATGAATTGGAAATAACAAGACTGGTATCATGCGTGTTAGGTAGTTTTCGCCGGATTTTCTTCTGAGTCTCTGGCCCAGAGAATCATAGATTGCAAGCCAAAAGTTGTAATAACTTGCAACGCTGTTCGTAGAGGGTCCAAGGTTATCCATCTGAAAGACATAGTTGACAGTGGACTGGCAGAATCTGCCCAGAGTGGGGCTGTTGTAGGTAAAACTTAAAAGTCCACTTTAATGTTTGTCTGCACTGTAACTTATTTCCATTACGTTGGAGTTTGAACAATATAGGAGTATGGCAGTGTTGTGGCCCAAATCTTTTAAAAACATTTAATTATTTTAATATTTCCTTGTAGTATTTACTATTTATTTGTTTTCCAGATGTGTGTTTGACCTATGAAAATGAGTCAGCTTTGAAGAAGGAAGACACGAAGTGGGTGGATGGAAGAGATATATGGTGGCAGGTCAGATGACAAAAATCATCAGTCTTTTTCAAGCTTTCTGTACTATAAAAGAATAGACAGCTACTTAAAAGAGATATAATATTGAACACAAGTTGCTTGATATATGATCCTACTTTTGATTACTAAATTTCTGGAAAACAACACTGTTCCAGAAAGAGTGATATTTTACTTATTAACCAGTTGTGTATGTACGGAGTTGCATTTGTTTCTCATGTATATTTTATTTTCTGCCCTATTTCAAGCAACCTCTCCATGCATGTTTGGTAGCTATAAGGAAATTGTGGAATTACAACGGCATTATTGCTATGTGCTTGTTATAAGTGTGTTTCTGGGAAGGTGCTTGCTAGCTTGCGAGTGGGGTGTGAAGGCGGTGACTGTGAATCGAACACTTTTCAACAGTATTGAACATTTTGCCTTATTATACTGGGAACTTTTGTATTGAACATTTTGCCTTGCTATACTAGGGGCTTTTATGCCTCAGTCAGATACTGACTGCAGTATAGAGTTCTCTCTGATGGGCATGTAAATCACTTCCAAATTGGGAATTTATCTGTGCTCATGCTTGTATTAGCTCAGAGACTAGATAAGATCTGATCCATAGCCACCTTATTGAATGGAACCCGTTAAGTTTTATTTAGTTATTCTTAGTGAAGCCCAGTTCAAAAGTTCTAGATAAATGAAATTTTTTCTTCTAACTGTGACTACCATGTTCTCATTCCATTCAGGATGTTGTTCCTAAGTATCCGACTACTTGTGATGTTGAATGGGTTGATGCAGAAGATCCACTTTTCTTGCTTTATACCAGTGGGAGTACTGGAAAGCCCAAGGTATTAAGAGTTGGAAGTATGAGATACTTTGTAGTTTCTCTTATGCTTCAAATTGCTTTAGAAATTTAATTATTGGCAATTTGAAGGGAGTGTTGCATACAACTGGAGGATACATGGTGTATACTGCTACCACATTTAAATATGCATTTGACTACAAGCAATCGGATGTATACTGGTATGATTACAGTATTATCATGTTATTATATAATGTGTAAATTGATAGAAGTTTTGGACCCTTCTGTAATTGGTCCAATTTTTCATCTTTCAGGTGTACTGCTGATTGTGGTTGGATTACTGGCCATAGCTACGTTACGTATGGTCCCCTACTGAATGGAGCAACATTAGTGGTTTTCGAAGGGGTATTTTATTTAGTACCTTTGGACCAAATTTATTTGTTATCTTACATTGCAGTTTTAACGTTCTAGAATGGTAGTTCTATAAGTACATAATGGCAAGTAAGATACAGAACATGGACTTTATCAAAATAATTACATAATTTACAAAGAAGGCAATATTGTTGCCTTTGAACGTAATCATTTCTGATGAGCCTAATTTGTTGTTGCAAATATTATGATTCTGCAAATATGTACTAGTTAGCAGCCTGATATAATCCTCTTTTCATCTCGTAGTCTTATATTAATTCCTTGCAGGCCCCTAATTATCCTGATTCTGGACGTTGCTGGGACATAGTTGACAAATACAAGGTTTCTATATTCTACACTGCTCCCACATTAGTGCGATCTTTGATGCGTGAAGGAGATGAGGCAAGAGTCAGACTCTTAACACTACTTTTTTGTTGTTTCATGGACTGCCTGGGAATGAATATTTGATCGGTTACTTTTGTCTTCTGTCGTGACTTTAAATATTTGATATAGAAGGATATATATTCTCTCTCCGACCATTTATTTTTCTGGACACGCATGTGAGTTGATCACTGATTAGGCACTATGACATGAGAGGAAGATGTATATGCATAGTGAACATAGGGTAATTCCGTATTTAGAAAGAACGGTACTGAAAGACTTGAAGCCAGGAATCACTTCACTTAAATTATACGTTTATTACAGATTTGAAATATATGTAAGAGCAGGCTTTAACATTATCTTCTTATTCTCTATGTATTTATTAGACTTTCACTCATGTTTTTTTGCCCTGTGCGGAATGATATCTCAGTACTTATTCATCGCATTGACTGGGGTAATTAAGCTGCTCTGATGCAGTATATCTTTTGGTAGGTCTAATTCCGTAATATATAAACTACCATGTCCTTTTCGATTGCCTGTCACTGCTTTTATGATGTAGGGCCAATGGCGCGTTTTTTGTTAAAGTTACTACTACTAGTGGTATACGTCTCTATATTCACAATATTGTAAAAAATATTTCGTTCTAATAACATAGCTATGCTCCAGATGGTATCACATAATCTCAGTGGATTGTATTGCTTGAATGAAACCCTGATTTTATTATCGATCTTGCAGTATGTGACCCGATATTCTCGGAAATCATTGCGAGTCCTAGGCAGTGTGGGTGAACCCATTAATCCAAGCGCATGGAGGTGTTATCCATCCTCAAAACTAGGCTTTGCTTATCAAATTATTATTAGCATTCTTGGACACTCATAATGCTGAAATATTCGTGCACGTATTTCCATTCTCTTTATACCAGGTGGTTTTTCAATTTAGTTGGAGACTCACGATGCCCCATTTCGGACACTTGGTGGCAAACAGAGACTGGAGGCTTCATGGTAGATTTGCTTGTCTTGTTCATTTTGATCATAATGCAGAAACAACAATAATAGTTGCTACAGCATTTAACTGTACTACCTTGCAGATCACTCCTTTACCAGGTGCTTGGCCTCAGAAACCAGGTTCTGCTACCTTTCCTTTCTTTGGTGTCCAGGTACTGAGATGCATATCCATTATACTAATCAGATTAAATCAATCTCAAAAGCTCTCCCAAATGGATATTTATATTGGAGTTTTTTTTT